GGGGGGGGGGGGGCGGAGTGAGCAAACAGCTGTGTGGTGTTTAGCTGCCTGCTGGGTTAAACCACAACACTCTTAGAATCTTTCATCTTATGAGTGCATGTAGTATTTGCATTCTGATTTTTATACACTCAGTTGTATTTAGATACTGGTAAAAGGATCATAATCCCCAGAGAAATTATTACTGCTTAATTTCTGCTGCGTGGACCATTTCCTGGTATGTCTGAACCTGAGCTTCAGTGCTATTGTCTGCCAAAATACACTTTACAACAGAAAGGCCATACTTAAAGCTTGGCATGTGGGTTACCTACCAAGCAAAGCTACAAGATGACTGCTCAGGGCGAGCACAGCTGGTGTCTTCGGTGTTGATTAATTTATGAAGAAATGAAAACTTGAGGGAAAGAAATGGCAACTTGCCACCTCAGGGTGAGGATATTTCACTAGAAGCAAACTCAGACTGCTTTTTCCTAGCAGGACAGACTAACTTTTGCATGTATTGTATTAAAGAATAATAAAATTGTTAATCAAACTCATTGTTAAACAGTTTTGTTTAAGCCAGAATGAAAACAGGGCTGTCAATCTATATGTTAATAAGCATTCATCACAAAAAATGTTTTACCTCTTAAACCAGTAATAGAAAGGTATGCAAACTCTGCTAAAAAGAGCACACAAACAACTGAGTTGACATTCGACCCAACTGTGGAAGTGGAACCCCCTGAAAATGTCAATTTTTTAAACCTCCCGAGTCTTGCCTGCCCACTGGTTGAATTTTTTTCTTGCAAACAAAATAATTGACTAACTCAGTTGAAAACTACATTGTGTATGAAGAGAGAAAACATACTGTATTCTATCTTAGTATAACCATTTTCCAAGTTACTTTAAGTTGTATAATAAATTAAAATTGCATTAAAAGAACAAAGATTTGTGCCGAAGTTTACAAGCATCTACTGTGAAGCATACACTAGCTTCAACCCCCTAACTCCAGACCTCAGTAGGCAAGCCTGGGGACAGTCATCTTTTCATTTCTTCCAAGAGTATCACAGTCCAATCTTTCCAATTTTCGTAACAGAATTAATGAGATCATTAATTACATTCCTGGCCCTCTAATACTACTTAAAGCGTCTCAACATTTTATTTTGCAAAATTTGAGCACAATCCACTTGCTCAGGTGCAAATTCAATTAAACTTGTACATAACTGGTATTCAGTTTGCTTGAATTGTTTCTTTCATGTCATCTTTATCCGAAATCAGAGTCCGGTGAGAAAGAACTCCATCTACTTTCTTTCAATGTTTTTTTTTTTTTTAAAACTTCTTGAGCTTCATTAATTATTGACTTATGTTTTTATTCCTCTTCATTTCTTTCCCAACAGGAAGTGAGAAAGATAATTTTCCAACTTCAGACCTTCTAGCAGCAGTTGGTATAACTCAAACGATGGACAGTATTACTTTATTTTCAAACACAGGTTGAGCACATTTGGAATGGGAAGCTTACAAGAAGGTAGTTTCTTATTTGAGACTCAGGTCATATAAGGACCTGCTAATTCTTATCAGGCCATTTCGTAATGGACTTTAGTCTTAATTGAAACTGTCAAGTAAGATTAGACTTCACATTTAGGCACAGAAGGCAATACGGTGATCAGAACAGATTCAGTGAGCTAGAACGTAGGGTATTTTTACATGAAAATACTTCTGCTGATCTGAGGAAAATTTAGTATTACTACTACTACAAAAAAGAACTTTTTGCAACTGGGCTTTCTACCTTGGAGTCCATTTTCACACTGCTAGAAGCAGCCTCTTCCATAAACCGTCCATGTTGCTAAGAGGAGAGCAGGAATAAAATTGGCTTAGATTTTCACATTTTTTTCTCCTACTTTGAAAGTGATAATTTTTGGCAGGCTGTTCAATACAGACAAGTATTCGATATGTGGATCATTTTGGGGTGTTAGGGTTGGGTTTTTTGTGTTTGGGGGTTTTTTGGGTTTTTTTGTTTGTTTGTTTTTTAAACTCACTGACTAGGTCAATACAAAACCCTCATGGGACTGGCTTGATTTTAAGATTGATATTGCTGACCTCGCTGAAGGCCTTTGCATTGTTGCCCTCTTCATTTCTAACTCACCATAGCTAGTTAGTTCAGTTACAGGGAACAACCCCAGGTTACACAAATATCGAACTTGTATTAAAAAAAAAAACCTTATGTAGTATGAAGGGTAGATCACAAATTTTCAGGCAAGATCAGAAACCATATTCTTGTCATAGGAACTTTGAAGATCAGAATCATTTGCAGTGCTTCTATGGTTACGCCTTGTTCTTTGTCTTCAGCGGTTGCATTCCAGTCAGTAACTTTTTTTCTTTTTTTTTTTTTTTAAAAAACTGTAGGTACATTCTGCTTTAGACTTAGTCACATTTTTCCACCAGACACTCACTTCAACTCAGTCTTGGACATCTGTCTGTCTATAGACATTGTAACCCTTATTTTCCCACTGCAAGTAGGGCATCTGAGAGAAAGGTGCAGTCAGTAACACCTCCTGTGAATCCAGTCCAAACGCCAGCCACATTCATTGCTCTATTTGATGGATTCAAGCAGATAGTACACGCTTGCAGATGTATTGCATCTGCAATAGATCCTAGATTGCATGGCCCTAGATTGTCATGGCCTTTCCTCCCATGGAGATTTCTATAAAAAAAAAAAAGACAAGGCTTGTATTCTTCAAGGTTTAACATTCATAATTAAAGCAAAACCATGCTGCTGAGAACCTAGTTTCAGTACCAGCGTGACCTTGGGAGGCAAAGGCTGTGAAGGATCCTTCACATCCGTTATAAGCTGGTAACTCTTCCCTCTGACTCAGCAAAGCACAATCGACAGCTCCCCAAATAGCCTGATGCAGTTAAAAAAAATACCTGAGGTGACAATCTGCTTTGTTACAGGGATGTAGATTTTACAAAAAATCAGAAGGAAGTTGGTCTCACACTAGAGAATTTGTTTGGAGAGCTCTTGCGTAAGACAGGGACATATCCTAGTTTCCCAATTTCCTCTCTCCAGGAAAGATTCGTTCATAAGCAGAGCCTCGTAACAGCAGCAGCCTCCAGAAAGCTAATAATCTCTCACACTTTGGGCACTGCCTCAATTGGGTAAGACTTGGAAAGCACCAAACTGGCACTCAGAAAGCAGAAGCATTGCTCTTTGTATTTCTCAACCCTGGTAGCGAATACCTCTGAAGGATGCCACTGAAGAACCAGGTCACAGGTGGTCAAATCCAAATTCAACAGACGACACTGACCACTAGGACAGTGATGCTGCCCCGAGAAGTGTCAGACAGGGACGCCGTGGTTTCATCTTTGAACATGTGACATATGGGCAACTTGTAAGAAATACAAAATCCAAGGATCTCCGTAGTTATCAACATGACAATAAGACAAACGAGCATGAGTGAAGGAAGAGTTTACTAATTTGACCCAGTATTTTAAGTTCTTACAAGCATTTTAAGCTCCTCAGGCACACTATCTGTCAGGCATACTGCCTGACAAGTATTTACTGCTACAGGCTCTCGGAGAAAAAGTGTAATTATAACAGAAACTAAACAGACAGCGATTCTTATCCTGGTGCACTTCATTGAGAAGATCAAAGAAGCACAGACAGCTATAGTCAGTAGAAAAAAGGTAAGGCATTGAAAAATATTTGAAGGTAAAGATAGAAAAATACTTCGTTTTTAATTTTGCACACAGCCCAAAAAGCAACATTTCCTACTTGGAAAAAGATAGGGATTATGAATGAAGCAGAATATATTTGCATTTCAAGTGACAAAGTTTAAAAATCAAAATATTTTAATAACCAGGAACTGGGAGACGTCCCCTTACTCACCCACTACATTCTGGACTAGCAACTACTCTACCAGTGAAAGCCAGTTTAACAGTTTCTGTGACTTTTCTGCCTTGCGATATACAAAGGTACATACCATTATTCTATAATTCCAGCAATATAGATACAACACTGTAAATAAAATCTTAACATCTTTTGACTATTTAAAGTCCTGTGCTGCCACACTGTACTATGCAAACAAATTATTATAAGGAGTTACAGAATGCTAGCACACTGGAAACGCTGCCTCATGCCACAGTTTGTGCAGACTTATAAACTGCTAGCTTAAAAAGATTACACAAGTAATTCAGTAAAAACGGTGATGTGTGTATGTGATAAATCAATAGTGTTGTTTAAAGCTGGCTATAGATTAAGCTATTGGACCGTGAATAAACAACTTTTTGTAACAAATATGTAATCCCAGACATAAAACTCACTTAAACTGCATTCACACTTAATGAGAATACGTCTTTTCATCCAGATGAAAATAAATGCATGTTCAAGAACAAAATAAAATCTCTTAATTAAATGGTTTGCAGAATTTATTAGGTCTTTTTTAATATACTCAATACTTTATCAAGCTAGTTGCATATAAAGTGATCTCCACCATATACATTACAATTTCTGTGCATCACCTAAAAAAAAGTCACCAAAAAGTAGTATTTTACAGGTTACAGTTAACTTTGAATTAACCTAAAAGTGAACCCTTCTGTAATTTAAGACACTAAACCGCACATTGCTTCTAACTGCAATATTTAAATTAGGTTTCACAGCAAGCTCAACCTGCATTTCAATGAAAAGAGGTTACTGCCATCTCAACTTCTGAATTTCTATAGTTTACTATCTTAACACCGCAAAAATTTAATGTGGTGTTTACTCCAAATAAGGAAAAAGTATATGACAATTCCTTTACAACAAAGCCTGCACAGAATACATATGCCTCAAGAAAGTTAGGAAACTCCTCCAGTAAAAGGAATTCACCCAGATTTGTGAACGGAAAAAACACTTTAGGTTCTTCTGGATTAGTGCTTGGAGCTGCTCATAAGAAGCAAAACCAGCAATCACAATAGGTAAACTAGTATTGGATATGACTTAAAGCAAATAAAATTAGAAAGAAGCAGATTCTACCTGCAACAAACATTTCTCAATTTAGAAGAAACTTTAAAAGGGACTCACGCAGATAATGAACAAATAGGTTTTCTGATATCTTCATAGGATGCTAGTTTACTGGCCAGGCACATATATTGTAAATATACAAAGAATCCAGAGTGCTGAAATTTACACAGCACTTAAAGGATTTAACATAACAGAGGTGGGTAGGACACAGGAAAAATATTTAACAACTTATATAAATATATTAAAATCTCAGCAAGAAATGTAAAAGCCCATGCACACAGGACAGTAAATTGAAAACACATTTAAGACTTGACTTTTCCTTTCAACAGCACTGACACCTGAATTCCAGAAAGTTAACAATTTACAGTATAACAGTCTTTCTCCACACAATCTATATGTACTGAATCATACCAACATTACACAGCACATGAACAAGCAGCAGATGCATCAAGGGAACAGGAGCTATATGCATCGTGTGGCCTGCCCAGTTAGAGGCAAATATCAGAAAAATTGTTTCTGACATAGGCAGAGATACAATCAATATAGCTAATTGTATACCCGTCATTTCCAAGAGTTATTCCACAGTATGGGAAAGGGGAGCTTTAGATAAAAATTATGTACCCAGTCTCAGAAGTGACAGAAGCAGAGATTTATCTTTCAAGAACTGGGTCCGTTCTGGACTGGCCTTGATGCACATGCAGTACATTTGTTTTCAGAATGCAAGATTAATTGGGAATGTCTGCACTAGTGTTTCGATTTCCGTATTTGTGATGGATGATCAGCAATACAACTCCTAAGAAGAAGCATATGGACCCAACAGTGATATAAGCAATTCCCAGGAAGGGATTTTTGCCTCCCATCCACGAGATGGTGCTTAGGATCATTCTTTTTCGTCCATCAAAACTGTGTACAGGATAATCTGAAAAACATATAGGAAAACAAGAAGCGCATTTCCAAATCTAGCTTTATGTGGTCAGACACATTAAAATTTTGGATTATTTCATTCAGGTTCCAAATACAAACTGCTGCCTTTGAATACTGGAAGTGCAAATAGCCACGTTAGGAGATGTTAACCTCTTTTTAAGGGAAGAGCAAATGCGCGATTTTGTGGGGTTTTGAAAGCAGCTTCAATAAAATTAGGGAAATCTAAATTTTAATTCTTGAACATATTTTAGTACAAAATTTTTTAGTGACTTCACGTTCATTCAGTTTTATGTGCACTCCCCACAGTTTTGCAGCAAAGGAAAATACTGCAATAGCTATTTAAAAATTATCATTAAGTGCTTTCAAATTTTAAGAATTCGGTAACTATGACAACCCTCCTCCTCTAGTCTCCTGCACTTCTACCTAGTCTTTAGTTTGTCCAAAACAGAATGACAGACCTCCCACCTGATCCACAGCTCTGACATTTTTCTGACCTCCAAAGTCAGTCTGCCCTTGATTACATATTGTCATTACACCGTGAAGTTAAAGCTCTCAAGTTTCTAGGCTACCAGCTACCTCTGTTCTTTCCTTTTTCCTATGCTTCTCTCAATTCCTTTACACCACCCAAGCAATCTGATTTCCCTCTCACTATTAAGCTACTCATTTAATTTTATACACAGATTTGAGTAATTGCACAGCAGAGCAGGCTGCTCTGGAGCAAGTCTACAAGTAGAGAATAATCTGACAACAATACATGGAGCCACAGAAGGACCCAAAGCAGGCCCTCAACTCCCAAATGAATGTTAATTCCTGCACCCATGGGAAACATCTCTCCCAGATATTCAATACCCTTCAGTGTCAAAGCAGTAATTAAGAGTCCATAGGCAATCACAGGAAGACATCAAAAAATTAGTAGTGCATACACTGATGAGTAAAAATGCACACTGCAAATTCGCCACATTATCAACTGAAGGGTAAAGAAAGCGTGCCCATACATAGTATTTTGCAGAAACTAGAACCTGGCTAACTGTTACTTAGGCCATTTAACAGATTTCAGGAAGGCTTATCAGCTCGCCTGAAGGCTAAGCATCACCTGAACTACGCTTAAGTATCTTCCTGTCAGCCAAAATGCAGGCAGTCTGCCCAAAAATTATCAGATGGAAATGCTCCCGTCCATAGGCTTTAGCCTCTATCCCACATGAGGCAGCTATTGGGGACCGCAAGTACCCATAAACATGAACAAGATGCGTGAGAAAAAAGTGAGTAAGACTGACCATACGGCTGTGAGAATTCAAGCTAAGTGTACAGAGAAGACACTAGTATCCTCCAAAATTTGCCTACTGGGTAAATTCTACACTGAAATCTTCCCTATGATTAACATCTCCATTATATCCTCACAAAGGCCTCCTCCAAAGAGTTGGATTTTTTTTTTTTTAACGGAACTGAATGTTTTCATCCTGGTTAAAAAAAACGTAGTTTTATATGAATGCAGTTTTATATGAACTATAAAATAGCTTAAGAATGTTATGATTAAAACTGCACTTACATTAAAAAGTGTAAGTCTAGCCCAGTCATTTCATTTACGAAGCTTAAAAACTGGACTGGATTTCACGTTCTAACAGGCCACACACAAGTTAATTCTATAAAAACTTGCACAGAAGTACAAGATGGTAATTATTCTACCCAATTCTCACTACCAGTTTTCAACCACAGCTCAGTACCCTCTCTTTTAGAGATGGTAAGAAAAAAGCCTAGTTCAATTTGAACTTGCACAAATATATTTGCCTGTGTAATCCAGCTAAGGTCCTTAGCTGCTTTCAAAGGTTTTTCAAAGGATACTGTATGTGATATTCAAAAAATATTTTCCAGCCTGTAAGGTAGGCTGTAAATTATTCTTCCTTTCAATGAGACGATACAGCTTGCGAAATGTTGGCAGAGCAGCAGTACGCATCCACACAATGAAGTCTTCATTGATAAAGCCATTGTTGTCAGGCTCCACGTCCAGCATATACACTGCCTTGGGCCAGTTTACAGGTTTTGTTGTGCCTAGGATTAAACAAAAATAATAACAATAAAGTATTTCAAATACAGGACTAAGTAACACACTGGCTCTTCAAAATTCATTCTAATATTACAAAAAAACATACTAACTTCTAAACAGTATGAACAGACAGGCTGGCTCACTGCTATTGCAAGACACTTAAACAGTAGTGCACATCCATTTATTCTCATGATAGCACCGTCCATTTGTTTAAACAAATTTGCCTCCCCTACACATTCGTGTAGCTAGGAAGTCTTGTCTCAAAACATTACTCTACCTTAGTGAGCTAATTCTCCGTTATGATGATAGCTCCTCTGCTCACTTTTTAAGAGTTTGACTACCACTTTCTGGACCATGAGCAAATAAAATTATGTGCAATATTTTAGATCATGCCATACTAATGCTGTTGCTAATTTTATTGGAAACACAATTCTACGTTGTATTAGGGTAAGGTATCTGCTTTTCCAAGGGTAACATCACATCGGTAACATGCAATTTGGCTATGACTAAGCAAGAAACCCACATCAGGTTAAACCTGAAATCATTACATACCTTGCATAAACACACACACACCCCTTAGAGCCCTGAGGAAGATTATTTTCAGACATTGGTAGCCCAAGAAAACTTTGATTTACCAAACTGTATTTAACCTAACAAATGAGAGAAATCAGTCACTTCTAATCACAAAAAAGAATCAGGTTTTTAGAAAACTTTGCACGATCTACCAGTAGAAACATTTAAATGAAAACTGCATCTGAAGAGTTTGATTAAACGACTGCAGGATTTCTTTTCAAGTGAAATCCAAGCATTATAGCAGTTGTACTGGTTTTGGCTGGGATAGAGTTAAATTTCTTCATAGTATCTTGTATCCTGCCATGTGTTGGATTTGTGATGAAAACAGTGTGTTGATAACACACTGATGTTTTATTCATTGTTGAACAGCGCTTACACAGCCTCAAGGCCTTTTCTGCTCCTCAGACTGCCCTGCCAGCGAGTAGGCTGGGGGTGGCACAGCTGGGACAGCTGACCCCAGCTGCCCAAAGGGATATGCAATACCATATGACATCATGCTCAGCAATAAAACTGGGCAGGTGGAGGTTGGTGGAGGCTGCTGTTGCTCAGGGACTGGCTGGGCATCGGTCAGTTGGCGGTGAGCAATTACTTTCTTTTGCATCACTTGGTTTTTCTTGGGTTTTATTTTCCTCTCTCTTTGTTGGTGGTTTTTTTTTCCTTACAATTTTTTTTTAAATTATTAAATTTTCTTTATCTCAACCCACAAGTTTTCTCACTTCTACCCTTCCGATTCTGCCCCCTCCATCCCACTGAGGGGAAAAGGGTGTTAGTGAGCAGCTGTATGGTGCTTAGTTACCAGCCAGGGTTAAACCAGAACAGCAGTGCACATATTAGGCTTTTCTCAGTATTCCAAGTGGAAAACAAAAATCAGAAATTAAAAAAAAAAAAAAAAGAAATATTAATGATTACAGTAAAGTTAAAAACCAAACGCTTTCACATGAAATGTGCAGCTTTCATTATTTAAAGACAACTTTTCTAGATAGCAGAGTAGTCCTTAGCTTGGATTTCTTCAGAAAACCAGAGTATTTTTAATTAGCATGTTCACTAAAATGTTGTCAGTGAGGTAAAACTCATTGGAATCAAAATGTGTTTGAAGTGTTTCGTTCTTCTTAAAATTTCACATCTTTTTTTTTACCTTGGAAAAGCGCAGTTAAGTTATTTCCATCTCCTGTAGGATTCCTGAACTTCACATTTTTATCTGTCCACCACGCAATGCCTTTTTTAATCAAAGTAATAGAAGTCTCTGTGCCATTATCAATGCGGTATAATTCCAGTGTATCTAAGGAGAAAATCGAATCAGAAAACCAGCTGAAGAAACTCTCATTAGACAGATGATCCTGATAGGCAGTGAAACAATTACCTCCAGGAGAAAAAACCAAAAAAACCGGACAAGACATTTATTACCTGCCTGCCACAATCACAAGCTGTTCTGTAGTAATCAATCTGTATTAGATAGCAGCATATTATCCATATATGATATCTACAGGTCTACTCCACAGCAGTGACAGCTTCTCACAACAGGTATTTCCATCCTTTGTATGCTATCAGATTAAACTAATTCTGATAGTAATTTTGAAAAAAGCAACAGCAGTACAACACAAGATATTTTATTCTGAACAATGAAAATGTGTGAATTCAAAATAAAAAAGCCCACGACGTCTTTACTCAAAACAATTTGTAACAACACAAAACATACACTAGATCACAAAAACATCTAAATGATAACTTAAAATTGCGTTACCATACCATTAAACATACTGTTGGCAATAGCTCCACAAGGAGCAATGGGTTTGTCCTCATTTGTGCGGTAAGGCTCACATTCCTTACTTGGATTCTGATAGTCAGAAAGAAAAAAGGCAGATGAGTCTGTGCTAGTTTATCCAACTAACCTGTTTTTTACTACAGCACCTCAATAATGTGCACATCTTAAATGTACCACAAAATAATCTTTTCACAAATCAGATTATTTACAAATACTTCAGCATTCAATACTAGTTAGCATGATTGATTTTTCTTTTACAAGCAGGAATAGAATCTAAATAAAAAATGAATAAAGTTAGAATCCCATCATGGTCATACTAAAAATAAGCCTTTTCTTGGAAGCTATTAGAACTTTTTTCCTTTTATCTTTTAATAGAAACAGTTTTCCAACACGAAGTACTCAAGTATTCTTTTATTATAGGGTTTTTTTTAAGTATGCATCAGTGTTATAGAAAATAAGGCTATAGTAAGAAACCAAATGTAACATAAAATGCAACAGGTTGCAAGGACTCCAACAACATGCCAAAAATGCAAGCAGGAAAAGCCCCGCCCAAAACCCTGTGTCAGTCATCAGATGTAGCCTCCTGAAACTCTCCCTCCTTTTAAAGTTTACAGGTAAAAAGGGAGAATAATTCTTGCTGGAGCAAGAACCCAACTCTATTTCCACTCCTCGTAAAAATTAGGAAGAGGAGAGGTCTGGCCCTAAACACTACACAGTGCCTTGAACAGAATACAAAGTACTGATATTTTCCAATATTGCTGATGTTCAATATTGAACCAGAGTCTATAAAAACAGATGCATTTAGCTGCAATATCCAAACCAAGTGCTAGGTAACCGAACATTGTTTTATACTGAAAACGAAAACTTCAGACAGAATGGATACAGATAGATGCTATTGACTGAAGATAAAAAGGCAGTTTAAAACTATTCAAATTTGAGAAATGATTGAAGTACTGCATTGCTGTCCACTTAATGAAATGACTGACATGAAATTTTACAGTATTTTACAATTATTTTCTGTAAACAAAATATGAATTCCTTACGGTTGTTCTCTGTTATGCAAAAATTCTACTACCTCATTATTAAACTAAATACTCTGCTATGTGGTGATTTATGCAATAGTAAGAAGTTAGCTGCTTATTAATATCCAAGCATGAATACCTACAAGTAGTGAACTGTTATCTCCATTTAGCTGGCTGTCATCTCGAGATTTCACATAACGACGATGGTTTTGATAGAAGTTGGAAAGTCCATAATACATGAATACATTGCTCTGCAAGAAGCAAGATGGGGCAAGAGGGGTTTTCATGCACACAAAGAACAGATCAATAAAACATATGAACACACTAATTAACATAAAGCTTAACTTTTAACCTCTTAAACTCCGTGTTTACTTTGCAGCAACATTCATAAAACAGGAGCCTCAATCCTGTCTTCACACTGAGTACACAGAGGAGTACCCTAACATAAGCTGGCATCCTGAAGTCAAACAGTATCAACATGCCATAAACTATCAGAACAATATTCACCAGCACTAATTCCAACACCTATCTTGTCTGATGTTAAGCACAAGCCTCATTATTTGCCTCCAATTTGTCAGAAAGCACTTATCTGGTATTTCCAATTCTTGTTGAACTGAGTTTTTTTTAAATCATGCAGGAATAGCTGATCTACTTGCTAGCTATATGACACATACGGTAAATCTAAACATGTAAAACACAAGCATTCCATTTAATGTTATACATTTCCAGATAAACAGAGGCATTAAACTATCTCATCCCTGCTACTAAAAAGGCACACAAAAAATGAGATCCAAGTTCATAGGAAAACTAGAAATAATCCTTTAAAATAGCAAAAAAAAAAAATTAAGACTTAAGTGATACAGCTTTCCTATCAATTATGAAATAACCCATACAAACCGTTCTAATTTCACTTTGCATACAGGGTAGCATACCTCAAATGAATGTTCCAGTGTGAAATTGATGATGCAAGTACAAGGTGGTGTGCTGTCCCAGGACACATTTAAACATTTGTTGCAGGGACTAGAAGGCTCTGTTCCTGTATAGTCAATCTGTAACAGAAAAAAGTCGTTAGTTTTCAATGGGAAAGTAAAGAAAATTGATTAATAAGTCAGAGAGTTGACGTGGCATTTATTCTGCAATCTTATTACACCTCAACTCCAAAAGCCCATTCAGATTTTTGATGATCTCAAGAGGCCCCTCCCAACATAAATGATTTTGTGACTCTGTCTATATGCTCAATTTCAGCCTCAAACAAATTTAACACTGAGGTGGGCCATTACTGCTGGGGGGGGAGGAAAAAAAAAAAAAGAACACACCAAAACACAAACAGCAGATACTCCAGACAACATGACGTTTCCAAAACCACATACAGTAACAAGCAGAGCTCAGCTTTTACATGCTTTCCAGAGAGGTTACATTTTTAAAAGTTTACTTAGATATTTAATAAAAGAGTTTTGCATAAGAAAATTTGCTTTGCTGCCCATTTTAGCCATCTAATTAGTCAGAAGATTAAATAAACATTTAGAAAAAAAAAAAATCACTTAATGCCCAAGAACTCTCCTAAAATAGGGAAGATGAAGACGCTAATACTGTTTTGCCAGGAATAGTAAAATACCAGTAGATGGACAAGAAATATGATCAGTGTTAGTTTGGCTTATACAATATTATGTCTCTTTAATAATGTAGCTAAAAAAAGTATTTGAAATCTGTACATACAAGCCACCTGGACAGTATGCATAACGCATCCTGAGCAGCCATGAGCTCACCCTACAGCCCAAGCCAACTGAAGTTGCTTGACCACTTTAGCTCTCCCTCATGTATAACTCCAGCACGTGAATGGCAGGAAATAATTAACTTGGGCTCAGCAGGCTAGCTCCAAATATAGCAGGAGAAAGCTTCCATCTGCCTATAAACTATGTATTTCTACACTTACTATGAACTTCCCGTTTAGAATTTACACTCAAGATTGGTGCAACGTATACCAAGTTATGGCAACAAACTGTTAAACAGCAGTATCATTTGAACTACAATGCCTATATAGTTTTATGAAAGACTGCTGCAAATGGTTTGCCTTAATTTATGCTTGTAGTGAAATGCATTATCAACAATTAGAATGATTTATGATGTTCTAATATCTGTATTAAGGTTAGCTAAAACAAACACACAGTTTCAAGGTTCAGGGAACAACTGAAGCCTGTTTTCCTCTGGGTCTTCTTCAAGGTCTCTCTTCCTGTGATTTCTTCGATATCTATTAAGCTGCAGCCCTTCCCTCAACACTTTTATTAGTATCTGCTCTGCTGCCAGATTTCTGACAGATGAGACCTACACCCTAACGAGCCTAGCTGAAACGAGTCAGCTTCAGAAGCTATTAGCTGGCAGAGAGAGAGAGGATCACATAATCTTTGCTTCCTGCGCTGAACAAGATACTGAGTTTATGCTGATCTAGAAATAGCACTACTGCAGCAGTCCTGAACAGCTCTTTAGCTACAGCAGACAGACCACCACTGCTCTCAACAAACAATGCATCTAATTTGTTCAAGGCTAACTTGGTGGGTTTTTTCCCCCTGCTAAAGTAATCTTAAACAAGCATTTCCTTTAGAAAGAACTTAAACCTCCATATCCTGAGCTAGTTCTTCAGTCTGTGGAGAAGTTTTAGATCAAGAACAAAGCTCAAATACTCTAAGGTTGCAAAAAATCTAAAGACTTCACTTTTAAAAATATAATTGACTCAATCTGTGGAGCATGAAATTGATGTATATTGAAACAGAACCATGCTTTTGACCACTGTTATCAGCTTCAATGCTATCCAAGAGCTTTCCTGTACAGTAACTGCCAACACAAGTGGTTTTTTCTGCATCCACCTTTGCAGGTTGCATTCAACAGAGAGCTTAACTAAAGGGATAGAGGTATCTGTCTTCACCTCTTGACAATATAATGAAACCAGGACTTTTGAGAACTGAAGGACTGACTTTGGGGTCCACGGCAGGAACCCTCCTGACCCTGCGTTCTGTCCCCAGGGATCGGCCAGCAGCTGAGTATGACAAATCCACACAGAGTGAGCCCTTCCCAACAACCCCTGATCTAAGGACACTGGGTATATCCAAGTTACCCGGCACCAATGGCTTTTCAGGCTGTTGACATCCTTCTCAGTTGATTTACATTTTTTGCAGTGTAGAAATAACGTAACTATTGCATATACATATTCTCCAAACCATTTATGACTTTGTAGACTTCATACTCTGTCACATATTTATCCTACTCTGCTTGGCCACTTCTTGTTTAAAAGGCATCCCCTAACTCTGGTCCTCTTTGCTATCCCTCTCTGTAGATTTTATTAAGTTTTGTTTCATTTTTGAGATGGGGCTACTGGAACTGCAGACAACACTGAAAAGTGTATGCAACAGTAATCTCCTTTCTTTCAGTTCTTTATTCCTAGGTATGCCTTAAAGTCTATTTGGCTTTTTAACTACAATTACGCATTTCACAGCAGCAGTCACAGCTCAAAGACCTCTTTCCTACACAATTAATGTTTTGGATAGTCCTCAATTTTTATCACATTTTAATATGCTCTGTCAATGCTTCTTATCCATTCTAAAAAAAAAAAATTAAAAAATAAAGAAAACCCAGGAAATACAGAACTCTCTCACCCTTTAATAACAGGGCAAAAGACACATTTACACAGCTGATTCTCATTTTCCACCCAAATGAACTATTTTCATGATAGACCCAAGATAAAAGGCTGTTCATACCCTTTGAAACAGTGAGAAAATGCTAGAGAACAACCAACACAAAAACCCTGTAATTCTAGTACACTTAAGCTGTTGGAAATCTTCCACATTTGAATTCAAGAGAGCTTATAAAGGAAATCAATGGAAAAGCTACATTTTGCTGCTCAGTCCTTGCACCTGTATGAGAACAGCACAGTTCACAGAAATACTAATGGCTGCAATATCAAGTTCCAGGAAAGGGTGATTTGAACTGTACATAAACATGTATTTCAGGGGCATAAATTATACATCCTATTCAATTCCAATACACTAAGTTTACAGGCAGCTCTCTCTCTCTATATATATATGCACACACACTTAACAAGTATGCTATTGTCTAGGAGGTGGGTGTAAATAACTACCACTGCTTCCTCCCCCGATTAAATTTTTAAAAGAGCTTAGTCACTGCACCTAGCTTCTAGATGTCTTGTCTCCCAGAGCTGAATTTACAGCTATTTGTGAGTAACATTTGGAGGTTACTAACAAAAGTCAGCATACTAAGCAGGGACATATCTCAGCTAAGCATATAGACGATAGCAGTGTCTTAAACTGCATCCCTCACTGGTGTTCAGAGCCCAAATGCTAGTCTGTAAAATGCTTCATCTATGTTTAGTTGCTGCAACTCTAGAGCCTTTTTTGATTTAAACTTTTTTTTTCCCAAAAAAATTCAGTTGCCTTTAGAATTATAATCTCACTCGCAGAATTTCTGCATTATTGTCCTGGTTTCAGTTAGGATAAAGTTAATTTTTTTCCTAGTAGCTGGTACAGTGCTGTGTTTTGGATTTAGGATGAGAATAATGTTGATAACACACTGATGTTTTAGTTGTTGCTAAGTAGTGCTTACACTAGTCAAGGACTTTTCAGCTTCGCACGCTCTACCGACTGAGAAGGCTGGAGGTGCACAAGAAGCTGGGAGGGGGCACAGCCAGGACAGCTGACCCCAACTGACCCAAGGGATATCCCACACCATGTGACGTCATGTTCTGCATATAAAGCTGGGGGAAGAAGGAGGAAGGGGAAGGCGTTCAGAGTGACGGCATTTGCCTTCGCAAGTAACCGTTACGCGTGATGGAGCCCTGCTTTCCTGGAGATGGCTGAACACCTGCCTGCCCATGGGAAGGAGTGAATGAATTCCTTGTTTTGCTTTACCTATTAAACTGTCTTTATGTCAACTCTTGAGTTTTCTCACTTTTACTCTTCTGATTCTCTCCCCCATCCCACCGGGGCAGGGGGCGTGAGTGAGCAGCTGTGTGGTGCTTAGTTGCTGGCTAGGGCTAAACCACAACAATTACAACACTTGATAAAACAGACATGAGGATCAGAGAACAAAACCCAAGTTTCCCCATTCTTACCCGCATACCCCAACTGTCTAATCATACTCTCAGAAGTCAAGAACTCTGTCCCTCCTGTCCTCACAAAAGCCTAATGATCTGACCTGGGAGAGCTTCATGTGAGGTGGATGATACAAGTCTGAACCCACACAGTAAAACAACAAACAAACAAACGAAACCCTTTCTAACCTTGAATATCTTGAAATTAGAAAGGATGGAAGGCCAGCACCTGCCTTTCCAAATATAAATGGCTACTACTGCTTTATATATGCAATCTGATTGCATAGGGGAGCATCAGTCATGCTCCCAGCTCACCTATGGATTTTCATACTGCATGTTAGGTGGGAACATCTAGTTTTTGACTCCTACTGGAAATTATTAGGAGTACCTGACTGAGCTGCTAAGCAACAACAGTATATAAAAATTCTGTATATGCATACAGCGGCAATATAGGCACAAGGAGTCACTTACATTTTTGGACTCATGAAACTGATGCATTCCCTGTCCCTACAGATCCCACAAATCCAGTCATAATGAAAAAAAGGGAGATATATTTATCCAATTACATTTAACCTCACAATCATTATGATCTAAGACTTTGTATTGCTTTACTAGAGAAATGGCTATTTTAAATGCAATCGTCAAAAAAATCAGAGTTAGTTTTTTACTTTTCTCCATCAAGTGTCCTGCTGAAAACGTGATGGTATTTACCTTAAACATGACTATAACATGGCAATTTAAAAGTCTACATGCCCATGACAACTTAGCAATGTGTTCTCTGAAGCACTTGTGTCAATGTTCAGATGTTCTGCATACCCTCAAATCTTGACACAAGAAGAAATTGCTTTTCAAAAATATGCTTACATACAACATTTGGACACAGTAAAATACACTTCAGCTTTGGGTTTTTTTTCACTTCTGCTTTTGTTCTTGAATGGAATTTTAGTTCCTAACATAAAGGAAAGCAAACTTGAAATTCGT